CATGTTCCCTGACCGGGAATCGAACCCCGATCTCCTGGATCCTAGGTCGATGCTCAACCGCTGAGCCACGCCCGGCTGGGCTCCTGTATTTTTTTAAAATATATCTTTATTGATTTCAGAGAGAGGAAAGGAGAGGGAGAGAGAGAGACAAACATCAATGATGAGAGAGAGTCATTGATCGGCTGCCTCCTGCATGCCCCCAGCTGGGGATCGAGCCCGCAACCCGGGCATGTGCCCTGACTGGGAATCGAACCCTGATTGCCTGGACCCTAGGTCAACGCTCAACTGCTGAGCCATGCCCGGCCGGGCCCTCTCCTGTATTTTTAAGGACTTTAGAAAACATTGTTACCATTCTTAAGAGTTTCTTGATAAGGGATTATGAAGAAATATTTTAATATTATTTTTTATAAGTTTTCATATACTTTGCAGACCTGAATTTGACTTCAGAATTAATGGACAAAATTTCCAGTCTGTATGTCATATGTGAAAATTAACACCCTGTTAATTTTAAAATGCGTTTAACCAAAATTTGCTTATAATTAAATTAACAGGTTATTTTTTGTAATAATTCACTGTTATTTTTAACAAGTTTTAGTGAATAAGCCATATGTTGGAAAAAGCACTGTAGTAGTTTCGCTGACATAAATATTACATCTCTATAACTATAGTCTGCATATTTAAGTCCAAATGTCACCACTCATAAACAGTGTTCAGGAGTGATTAACATGTGATTACACGGCATTGTAAGAGGAAATTGCTCCTGTTGTCACAGATTTGAGTTCCTGCAGCTGGTTAACCTGTGCTGATGCTCCCAGGTGAGCTAAGCCAGGCCCCCGCCCTGTGCAGGTTTACTCCTGGTGACTGGTGAGTGCACACACTTACTACACCTATTCAGTAGAGATTTAAAAATGCAGTAATACATATGGAAAACTTTTCTGTGAAATTAAAGTTTTCATATATACTTAATTTTAATTATGCAAATGTGTCTACATAAGTAAAACAGGTAAATTAACTAATTTGTCAATTTTTTGACATATGCATTCAGAAAACCTACTTTATTATATAACAGACTTTAGGCTTTAACAGACAACCCCTCGCCCAAATTAGTCCCTAATATCGAGGTTTTCATGCATTTTCCTTCCCTGGGGGAATCAGCATCTTGAGAATGAAGGGGGAAGATCTTCTCGCCTGGTCTTATGAGGGACTTACATCTCTTTTCATTCCAGTGGTAGAAGAGCCTTTGCTCTCTGCCACCTAACCCGCGCGTCTTCCTGAGGCAGTTTCTCTCGGTTTCTGTAGTGTCAGGAGCTGGGCAGCTGAAGGAAGGCAGCCTCCACGCCGTGAGGAGCGGGGTCCCTGTCAGCAGCATCTGTCAAACTGGGGCTTCGCTCACACTCTGATTCTCAGGATTCATACTTTCCTTTTTTATTGTTGAATGAACCATGTCAATCAATTTCTTTTAATGAAGTCAGCCTATTTCAGAGCAAAGTATTAACTGTTGTTTATATTAATTTGGATTCCTTACATCCCCCCGCCCCTTTTATTTTCTCTTCCTTCTCTAGGAAAAAGAAATTTATCGCTGGCCAATCAAAGAGTCCTTGAAAACGATGCTGGCGTGGGGATGGAGCATCGAGCGCACGCGGGAGGGGGACAGCATGGCCCTCTATAGCCGGACTCGGCGCATTTCCCAGACCAGCCAGGTGAGGGCCACGGCGAGGAAGCCTCTTCATGCTGTTGAAAAATAATTTTAGTCTTTTATTTAATTATTGGCTTTTCAAAACAGATACTCCGAAAATTCTGAATCTTAACATAAAGTTAGAGAGGGTAAGACCACGTTTGTTCCTTTTTAAAAAATGTTCAGTGACGTCTTGATGGAAGTGCCTGTGTTCTAACCAGGCCATGATCTCCTGGCCAGGCGGTGACGCAGGACCCAAGGGCGCGGTCTCAGAGCGTCTGGATGAAGCTGTGGGGTGCGCTCATTGCGTACCAGTGGGTTGTCTGGCGCTCTCTCCCCCTCTGCAGTAGGAACCAGAGGCTGGTTCTCAGGGTGCAGTGGTGCTCGGACAGGTGTGATCCAGACCTGGAGCCCCATGCTGTTCTGTATGGGGTCCAGGTGAGCTTGAGCACCTGTCCACTCCCAAGGGCAGCTCTGCACCAGGAGAGGCAGAGCAGGAATTCCGAGACCTCATCTCTAGTGGCACATACCAGGAAGGTGCCAGCCTTGCAGCTTAGTGTGCTCGAGGAGGCACAGCCTAGACCTGGAGAACCTGAGGTTCAAGGTCGGACCAAACACCAACTCTCAGCGTGGCCCTTTTAATTTCCTGAGAGCGAAACCTGTTACTGTCCAAACTGCTCAGGCCACTGTGTTTCGTTTACACAAAATATTGTGTTTATATTGCCATTTATACAGATAACGTTTTTGGGGGGAAAAGCATGTGAAACACATATTTGAAATATATTTTTAAACAGATTAAGTTCTGATTTGGGCATATTGTAGCTAAAATTCTCTTAAATACATATCACGCAGCTGGAAGCTATAAAAGCCCATTTACCTTTTTGTTGTGCATGCACATGCTTCTAACTAGATTGCATTTGTTTTAATGTTTCAGCAAATACTGAGCACAAATTGAGCACTAGGCGGTAGGAGTACAAAGGCAGTAGGTCCAGTTCGAACCCTGAAGACCCACAGCTTGGTGTTGGAGGTACAACAGCGCAGGGAGGCCTGCAGCTTGCAGATCCCTCTTTCTGTTTTCCCTGTGTGTTGGATGGGAAATAAGGAAATTACTATGTAGTGGAGGCGGCTTTGAGCTTTGCCAGGAAAATAAGGTAGATCCTTCCCCGTCCTTAAAAATTACGGGCTCTAACTTGAGGCTGGAGGTGTTGTATGTGTTCCCTCCCTCCCTGCTCCCGGCTCCTCGTGCAGTTCTCAGTGCACGGGAAGCCCTCAGCACAGCTGATACCCGTCTGCCCACTGAAACCACCTCTGAACTCTTCCTGATCAGAGCCACGTGTGCGATGTATGATACACACTCGTAAATCCCCTACGTGATTTCCAAGTATGAGGTGTGCTCCTGCCAGAGGCACAGGGTATGTACAGATCAGGAGGAGGCTCGGCAGGGGACCAAGTGACTGCTGGCCTCCAGTCCTGTGGCCGCCACTTTCCAGAAATCTACTCCCCACATGTTACTTAATCTGTTTGCCTCAGTGAATGTTAATTCCTATTATCATTATTATTGTTTAAACATTTTCAATGCTGGAAACCACTTCATTAATGGTAAGGAAAAGAGTGTGTTTGCATTTGTAGTTCTTTGATCTGTTAGCAGTAAAAAAGAATATTTCTAATAGTATCAGAAATGGAGAGCAAATTCCAACAAATGCCGCAATATATTTATAATCCTTGTGATTTTCACTCAAACATTCTTTAAGCATAAACCAACATTACTGGAAATGTTAACATACTCATTTCTTATTTGCTAAGCTCTCAGTATATCCCTTTTCAACTATCATCTTGACAAACTTTTATTTTTAATATATCTTTATTGATTTCAGAGAGAAAGGGTCAGGGAGAGAGAGAGTTGAAACATCCATGATGAGAGAGTCGTCATCAATCGGCTAGGCTGCCTCCTGCACGCCTCCGCCTGGGGACCGAGCCCGCAACCTGGGCATGTGCCCTGACCGGGAATCGAACCCCGATCTCCTGGATCCTAGGTTGACACTCAGCCACTGAGCCATGCCCGGCTGGGCTTGACAAACTTCTTAATGTCTTTTTTTCTCTCTATTACTGATTTCCCATAAGATTATAAGGATAGTTCCTGTTATGGAATAGATCAGCTCCTTTCTGAGACTTAAGGAGCAATTTTTATGGCATTGGTCGGTAGTGAGGAATATAAATGGATGAATTGAGATCACATGTGGACATGATTCTGCGGCCTGATGTTCTCAGCTTCCTGCCCCTTGGGGCTCAGCACGCACTGTGAGACAGAAGTGGGCAGAGTCTTGCTCAGCCAGATCTGTAGGGTGCCCGGCTCCTGGTCCTGCCCACACCCCTCAGTGGCCCTGTGAGCTCCGGCCAACTGGCTGACCTCTCCATGCTGCTGTTTTCCCTTTAGGACAAGACAGCTAAGAGCATCCACTTTAGAAGACTTGTGAGGATTAAATGTTATAAGGCTTGTAAACCACTGAAAACAGAGACTGGCCTCTATTTTAATAAGTGTTAGACCTAATTATTATTATTTTTATGTGGATCAATGTATTATTAATTCTTTTGTTTACCATGAACACCACAGGAAGACATGAATCATGATTACATGCTCAGTCAGGGATGTATACTTTGGATGTGTAAGGTAACGGTGACAGCAGGGACAAAGCCAGTGGCAGCTTGATAGGATGGGTTTAGGGCAGGTGCCACAGGCAGACGGGGTGTGAGGATGTATGGGGTGTGAGGACTAAGCAGGGAGATTCGGCTCCTTGTTAAAGTCAGCGTGAGTGGGGGTCATCTCCAGCCGTCGGGTGCATTCCACAGGTTCTCAGCAGTTATTATATGCTCCCAAATTCCGACTTCCTATTCTGTATCTGTTTTTCAGTATTGTAAATATGGGATAAAGACTATTGAAACAAATTCTAACCCGGGAGGGGGAGGGGGAGGGGAAGGGAGTCAAACTTTTGGAAAGTGTTACCCATCGAGAACCAAAATACAGCCTAGGATAAGGGAGCCACCCGTTCATTCCTTCAGCAGGTGTTTATGGAGCACCTACTGTGTCCCAGACATGGTTCTAAACTCTTCAGATAGGTCAGGGAGCCAAATAGACTACAGTCTCTGCTCTCACGAGGCTTATGCTCTAATGGGAAAGTGGAGAGAGCTGTCAGTATGTATGTGCTGTGCTACAATATGACAAATGTTGGGGTGATGAAGCTCCCACCGGGAGGGCGGGGGAGGGGCTGGAGGCTTGGGGGGGCAGGGTTGTCAGAGTGGATTTCATTGAGAAGATGAACGGAATGGAGACCAGCAGGAGGTGAGGGAGCCTTGGGGATTTGGGTAAGAATGTCCCAGGTGCGCAGGAGCTGAGTTGGGAGAGCCGCCTGGCACTTGAGGGATATTGGGGGCCAGTGAGGGTGGGGCTGAGTGAGTAATAGGGGGTGCAGAGGTCCCAGGAGCTAAATCACATAGGACAATGGGCCATTTTAAGGAATTTGGTAAGTGCGTTGGAGTCAGACAATTACTTTCCAAACTGGATTCTGCTGTTTGTTTACATGATACGGGTTAATCCTTTTGCACCTCTCCTTTCTCATTTTGAAATTGTGACAGGGGTGTCTACTGTTCAGAGTTGTTCTAAAAATTAAGCGCGAGGATCTGCATGTCCCGTTCGCAGAGTAGTGGTTGCTGTCGTTACTATTATTCTAGTAAGACTAGAGTTAATTAAGTTAATTTTAAAGCTCCCAGTTCAGAGATGGCGCCTGCTCCAGGTGACGTGTGGTTGTAGAGACCTGGCCAGTTTTCCCATTTCTGTGCCTGTAAAGGGGAGAGAGAGGCCATGGAAACACAAGGAATCCATCCCTGAGTGAATGAGTATCTGCTTATGTACTTTAAAGCGGCTTCAATAATTCAATCTAAAGCTAAAAGGATACAAATTATAATATGTAAGGAACATGGTCTAAGAGAATATTAAATCCTGCAAATTTTATTTTAGGAACAAATAAAGTTATTGATATCCACCCTATTTTATTTATTTATTCAACAAAGTTTACAGTCTAATACTATTTTTTAATCAGTTTTAAGACACATACCTTCCATGTTCCCCTTTCTGTGACATTGAGGATCATTTTATAATTCCTAACTTGACGAGAGGTGGCTGTGCAGGGCTCCAGGCGCACCACAGTGCATATGGACCAGCCACGCCCAAGGCTGTGTCCTCTGAAGCGGGCGGGCTCATAACTCAGGGGACAGCAAATACGTGTCTGGAAGTATACTTCTGACAGCAGAGTGCAGAACGAATCAGAGAAGAGGGGTGAGTGGCAGAAAAACAACGTCCCCCTCGGTGAGGCAGGAAGCAGCAGTCCTGGGGCAGCAGGGAGGGTGATGAGCTTGGTCTCAGATGTCGTTTTAGGCAGAATTACGGCCCTACAGATGATCCTGTCACTGGAACATGAAAACGCTGCTTTGCTTGGATTTTGCCAATGTGGTTAGTTCACCAGTGTGGTCCAAGTTGAAGGCCTGGAGGTGGGGAGATTACACGGAATTGCTGGGGGCCCAGTCATTACAAGGACCCTGAAAAATGAAGAACCCTTTCTGGCTTCAGACAAGGGCATAGTGAGGACAGCAGGCTGGTCAAAGATGGGACGCTGCTGGCATAGGAGACAGGAGGGGCCGCGAGCCAGATGATGTGGCTGCCCTTTGGGAGCTGGGAAAGGCAGGGGACTCCTTCCATAAACCTCTGAAAGGAGCAGGGCCCCCTGACACTGACTTTTCCCATCGAGACCCGGTCAAACTTCTAACAACTTGGTGGTGTAAGCCACTAATTTGTGCTGATCTCACACAGAAGTGTAGAAGGTTAATGCAGGTAGAGACTGGGCAGCGGTGGGTGTGGCGATGAAGAGCTGAACGTTCAGTCCAGAGCTCAGGAGCAACACGGAGCCAGGTTAATTGGTTTTTGGGTTTATTAAGAAATGGTGGGTAAGCTAATATTTAATGTAGGTATGGGTATGGACACTGGAAAAGGCATTTAGAATAAAGAAACAATAGATATTTAAAGGTGATTTATGGGAGAAAAGCCAGAGGGCTAATCTGAGGAAGGAAGTCAGGGGAGCAGAGAGTGTGTTTGCGAGATGCTGGCAAGTGGCAGGCAACGCCAGACCTAGAAGGACCAGAGTGACAGTCACTGGAAAGGGGACTATGGATTTAGCAACTTGGAAACGGGGACAATTTCAGAGAGCAGTTATTAGGCTGGTGGGGGAAAAAAGCAATGTGGTGTATGGAGGGTGGGAGAGGTGACAGTAAGCGAGGAGTCAGCTTGAACTCAGACACCCAAAGTTGGGATCTGCCTGCTTGGATTGTTAGCTCTATCACCTGTGCCCTCTGAGTCTCAGATTTCCTTTTAGGAGTATTTAAAGGAGGAAGAAAATGTTATTTCATTCAACGTCCCACTATTAGGGGGTCCTGAGTGTGGTGAAGTCACAGAGGCCAGGGCTCAGGCGAAGCTGTCCAGACCTTTTAATGTGGCCCTGAACCCTTCATTAGCAATCACACAGCAGCAGCTGTTGGACTTCACAATCACAGATGTGCGCTGCATTGTGTCAGATGTGCACCACATTGTGTCAGATGTGCGCTACATTGTGTCAGATGTGCGCTACATTGTATCAGATGTGCACTACATTGTATCAGATGCATGCTACATTGTATCTTTTATATTGTTTTGTGTTTGTCCATCTAATGAGAATATATACATGAAAGGTAATATATGTACATTTTGAAGTATATCTAACATATTTTATATGATAATATAACTATATTGTGAAATATATCAAGCTTTAATTTTAGATTTACGAGCATGAACCAGATCCCAGTTCTGTGACTCACTGTCACTAATATGCCTCTGGGAGGAATGTGTTCAGAGTCCAGGGCAGTGGGACCTTTTACAGTGGATGAGAGGATGTGTTTCACTTGATAAATGCCAAAATTTAAAAATTAAGGAAACCTACTGGTTATTGAGGATATCTTTGTAAATCATTGAATACTATAATGTTATACTTTTAAAAGTAAAAAGTTGGTTGTATTTTATCTTAACATTGAGCCCATAAAGACATTTGTAAATACTGACCTCTTAGAATCATTGCACAGTTTGTTGACTTCTGAGTATTAACTTTTGGGGCTGGCAATCCCTGAGATGCCAGGGAATATTATGCAGTCATAAATAATTATCAGGCACCCAGATATAATTTAATTTGCTAGATATGTTTGTGGAATCAGTTTGTGTAGATACCTGCTGGTTTTATCTGAGGAAAGGTGTTTGGAAGCCTGTTTGCCTCGTATTTCTGAAGACCCTCTCAAGTCTCTCTCCACAGGGCATTTTAATGAGATACTACTTTTCACACAAATTGTCTAGGTTTCTGTGGACGCTGCCCATGGGTACAGCCCCAGGGCCATTGACATGAGCAACGTCACACTGTCCAGGGACCTGCATGTAAGTACTGGTGACCCTTTAAAATATTCCATGAATCTCATGTTTTAAAAGCATATTGTAACTTTCCTTTGTATATTTGCAGCATGTATTATTTGAATGGGGCAATCGTCTATTCTAAAGGGAATTTATAGATTATGTATCCCAACTTTTCCATGCTATAAAAGTTGATATGACATTTCCTAGGATGTTTCTTTCAGATAACACATTTTTTGAGGATAATATCCATGATGTTAAAGCTCTTTAATATCCTAATATCATTAAATGGCTGTGGTGAGAAGAAAGTCAGTCAGTCACTAATGATGCTCTGCTTAGGAAACTTTAATGTTCATTAAACAATGTGAATTTTTAGTTGTTTATCCAGGAAACTGATGGCATTTTGCTTACTCCCTGCATAATTTTAAAATTATTATTTTAGATTTTATTTTTTAATTACAGTTTATATTCATTATTTTGTATTAGTTTCAGGTGTATAGCATAGTGGTTAGACAAAGTGGTCCCCCAATATTTCCATTACCCACGTGGCCCCAGACATAGTTATTACACTATTATTGTACAGGCATATGAAAAGATGCTCAGTGTCATTAATCATCAGAAAAATGCAAATTAAAGCCACAATGAGATATCACCTCACACCTGTCAGAATGGCTCCATCAACAAATCAACAAATGACATGTGCTGGCGAGGGTGTGGAGAAAGGACACCCTGGTGCATTGCTGGTGGGAGTGCAGACTGGTGCAGCCACTGTGGAAAACAGTGTGGAGTTTCCTCAGAAATTTAAAAATGGAGCTGCCTTGTGCTCCATCTTCCCCTTTGTCACTAAGGAACACACTGTGAAATGGCCATTCTGAGTGAAAGAAAGTTTGTTGCCATAGGACGTAAGTTAACAGGACTATATAATGGTCAGACAATGACATTGGCGTTGTTAGTATTAATCCAAGAGAAACAAGTATAAATATAGAGGAAAAAGTCCATGTGTTGTTAACTTGCTCCCATATGAATGTGTTGAAATGACATAGTAAACTTAAAAATCAGAAGTGAAAAGAATCTTAGGAGTTACCTTGTCCAATCTAAAGGTCCACAGAAAGGCGAACGAGGCTCATCCAAAGTCTCACTCAGTTAGGGACAGACTGTGGTCTAGGGCAGTGATGTTCGACCGCTGCACCACCAGAATTCTTAAAACATGCCACACCTGACTTCAGTCAGGGGCACTGGCCTCTTTCCCCTTAGATAGATGGGCAGATAATAAAATGACAACAGCCAGCATAACAACAGCCATTCATTGTGACTGAATCAAATGTATACCTATTTTTTGTCAGATTGCCAAAAAATATACTTTTTGGTATGCCGAAGAATTCTGGTAATTCATTTATATGCCATGAGATGAAAATCTAGACTGTTCGTCTGATATTCTCTGCCGTCAGTGCTAAGGCCTAGATTATCTTTTAAAGGTTTGGGAGTTAAAATAAGAACTTGTAAATAAAATTATTTTGATTGAAGTCCATAGCTAATTTGACGTTTCATTATTGAATTAATCAAACGTGTCTTTGGACACAAATAATAATGACCGGTCCCCTCAGATCTCCTGTTTCCTGTACTCTCACTGTCATTGCTGTTCTCTGGGCTTCAGGTTCCAAGGAAGACAGTTGTGGTCGATTGTATTCCAGGTGTGCTTTAGCACCAACACGCTGCGATTTATTAGTTTAAAGCATATTTTCATATTACATATTGGAAACCAGAGTTACCCTTTTCCACTTATTGAAGTATGACTTAGTTCTACATATTTTTTTCATTTAAGGCTATGGCAGAAATGATGGCCGAAAACTACCATAATATATGGGCAAAGAAAAAGAAAATTGAACTGGAGTCCAAAGGTAATGCTTTCTTAAAACCCGCGCTGAGAAGCGGAGCTTTGCCACATGAGCGTGGAGTGTGGGTTAAATGGATGCTTTAGCACAGGCCCTTGTACCTTAAGATCGCAAGAATGGTTCGAGTAGGCCTGTCACAGTGTCAGGGTAGAAATTCCACAGTTTCCTGACTGCTGGTGTGTATTTCCTCCTGCCTGAGGATTCCTGCGGCTCCCTCCTGCCGTTTTAGGCATAGCCATCTGCACGGCTCATCCTGGCACCCAGCTGTCCTCCCTCCGTTGCTGGGCCTCCTCCCCAGCCGCTCGGTTGTGTCCAGTCTGGCTGTTATTGTCTCTTCGTGCTTTTGCTTAATATTTCTGCTGCTTTTAAAATATTAAAATGAGCTAATATTCTCTCAGTCGTTTCTCAAACATTTTCTTATTGACAAATATTTTTCCGTTTAATGCATCCTACTGATGCTCTGTTACTGTGCTGTCACCTAGTGGTCACTGTCAGGCAACGCGAGCGCCTGGAAAGGCCTTTTCTCCCCTGCCTTCCTGTTTGCGTGTTTCCTAAGCAGCGCGAATCCAACGCTTATGATGGGTTTAGTAGCTCCTGGCTAAACCTCATTGGACACCAGCTTAATAGGCTCAGTGTTGCCACCATAATTCAAACAAAATGATTATTTTCAGTTATTCTTTTCTGGAATTCCCTGAGCAGTTGTGTCTCAGGAATCCCAGCAAACACACTGTCCACCGTGTGGTGTTTTATAAGCTTTAAGTCCGGGGCCTGCGCATATTTGCTTTGATGCTGATGTAGTGGCAGCCTTGTTTCAGAGCCTTTATATCTGCAACTACCAAGGCAATTTTTGAAATTTTTTAATTTTTACAACATTTTTTACAAAATTTTATTTAATTTTATGAAATTATTTTTACAAAATAATTTTATGAATGTTTTTCTCATTATTAGTTTTTTAAAACCTAAATAATTCCTAGAGTTTGTAAATCTAAAATAATGCTTTTAGTATTTCTCACAGGAATAGGTAAACTAGAACCCTGGACACTTGCCTCAGTTTTTAATCAGCAAAGTACATATGTTACTCTTATTAGATTTTTAAAGGAGATCAACTTTTCTTAAATTGATTTTTAGAGAAGGAGGAAGGGAGGGAGAGAGAAACATTGAAGCCATCCATTGCCTTGACCTAGGGATTGAATCCACAACCTAGATAAGTGCCCTGACTGGGACCCAGCCCTTGACTGTCTGGTGCACAGGCCGGGGCTAAAAGAGGTCAACCTTGAACTTAGCACCCTCAGGGTGGGTTTTGTTATAAAAACTCAGATGTGGGAGGCTTGGTAAAAGCCCCTTATGTAAGACTTGTTTTCCCCGTCCCTGTGGGGCAGGAAAGGAAGCGTGTCCCTGCGGCAAGCAAGTTTCGCAGCTTCCCCAGCCCGGCCCTGCCTCAGCGTCTGCTCGCAGTCTCCCGGCAGCGGCAGTGATCCTTTGAGTGGGGAGACCCCAGCTGCTCCTCCCGCCTGGGCGAGCAGATGCTGCGGGCGCCGGGCTCACGAATGCCTGTGTGCTCGGGGCTTACTTGCCTGCGAGAGGCACTTGACAACCTTCCCCGGGATGTTAGTGGTGCTGGTGAGGGAGGAGCCTGCGAGAGCCCTTTATCCCCGGGTAGGGGAGGACACGGAAGCGTGCGATGTGACCCAGTCACACAGGCAGCCCGTCTCACCACATGCTCCCCTGTTGCCTCTGTGTTCCTGTCTGGACGTGTTCTTAGGAGGCGGGAACCACCCCCTGCTGGTACCGTATGACACGCTGACGGCCAAAGAGAAAGCCAAGGACAGGGAGAAAGCGCAGGACATCCTCAAGTTCCTGCAGATCAATGGGTACGCTGTGTCCAGGTACGAGAAACGCTCCTGCTCCAGACGCACATCTTGCCGGAAGACTGACTGTTTCTGCAGCCCCCTCAGGTCCCTTAAGGCCTGAGAGCCACTGCTTACTGCGCTCAGACGCTCCGGTCGGGACATCCGCGCCTTCAGCCCTTTGGCACATTCCTTACTCGAGTCAAAGCACTGCTTACATTAGCCCCCCGACCGTCATCAAGGCTAAATCCAGGCAAAGTGACACTTTTTGCTAAAGGCAGCATCTGCTGCATAGTAACAGAGCTGTTAGCTACAGTGTTATACAAAGAATTCAAACTGTTGATGAAACCTCATTTTGCCTTTAGCTAGAGAATGTTAGGTAATCTTCTAAGTTTATATATGTTATATGTAGGAAACTTTGTTAAATAGATAGTGTGATAGTCTTTGTGGATATTGGTTTCCGTATTTCATTTTGTTCTTACAGAGGGTTCAAGGACCTGGAACTGGACACCCCTTCTATTGAGAAGCGATTTGCCTACAGTTTCCTCCAGCAGCTCATCCGCTACGTGGACGAAGCCCATCAGTATATCTTGGAGTTTGGTGGGTACTGCGTCCTGCCGCTGACAGCCTGGTGTTACTGTAGTCACAGCGTCGGGGCGAGGCCCCTTCCCTGATGGCACACACTTGCCGTCCATCCTGGGACTGACCAGAGTCTGACACGCTACAGGCAGACATGTAGGATGGGTGTGTTCTGACAGCTTAAAAAAATCTAGCATAAAACTCTGTTCTCCTTATAAAGCTCATGGCCATTGACTTTTCACTTGGAAAGGTACAGTGGGCGTGCATCACAGTTTAAGGTACAGTTAAATCTCTTCTTATGAAAGTAATTGCTCTGCCAGTGGATTCCTGAAATTTCTGGACCGTGCAGGGGCCTCAGCTCAGCCCCTGCAGGGAGCGCTCGCGCTGGACTTTGTGCGCGCAGGTTGGCACCCTCTCGGAGCGTAGCGAGGGCTCCTGCCCATCAGCCCAGTGCCACCTGTGTGCGAAAGGATCCTTATTTTAAATCTAGATTCAGATCACTCCACCACCCAGCGCCTTTGGCCTCCATTACTTCGGGACCGTCAGCGGCAGGTGGATTAAGTTTCTGGTCACCTGTCACGCACCCTCCTGTCAGGGTGCCTCCCAGCTGCTGGTGGAAGGTGCCGGGACTAGAGCCTGTCCCTCTGGGAAAACGTGTCTCGTCTGGTGGTGATTTTTACGTTTTCTTTCCCACTCTGAAGGTTTTGGTTTTGTTTCTTAATTCTGTTCTTTCTGGTCTCTGCACGTTTCCTCTGCACCCACACCATCGGCACTAGATCCCTTCACCATCCCCGCCCCTCAGCACAGGCGCTTGGCCGGTGTTTTCTCAGGATTCACCGTTGGGCACAGTGTCTGATTAAAGCCCATAGAACCCAGCTAGGTGTTTTCTTGTCCCTGGCCTCCCGTGTCCTAAGTGTGGTGAAAGATTTTCCAACCGATCATTATTATTTTTTTAATTATTTAAAAAATATTTTAAAAACTTTAATTACAGTTGAAATACAATATGTTAGTTTCAGGTGTACAACCTATTGGTTAGACTTTTATATACCTTACGGAGTGCTCCCCCTAAGCCCGGCACCCACTGGCACCACGCCGTCATCACAGCATCATTGACTGTTCCCTGTGCCACCCTCTACGCCCCGTGGCTGTTCTCAAACCTGGCAGCCTGTGTTGCTCAACCTTTCACCTGTGTCATCACCATTCTTTTCGAGAACTTCCCTGTCCTGAGACCTGTCCCTTTATCGACAGTCCAGCAGCTGTATTGTTGCTCCCTTTTTCACAAGAGCTAATTATGCAAATGATTTATAGGTAATCTCTTTATAACTCAGTGATATTTTTTGAAAATACAATTTATGAGCCATTCTGACAAGTAGCTAAATTAGTCTGAATTAATGAAATTTGACCAGTGAACAGCAGTGAGGCACTGTGAATTTTTGAAGCTGCTGTGCACAAAGTTAGATGCTCAGACGTCTCTCCCACATTTAAAAGCATCTGAGGTGAGTGGCAGCCCTGAGAGCTGGTCTTCTTTTTTTAAAAATATATCTTTATTGATTTCAGAGAGAGGAAGGGAGAGGGAGAGAGAGAGAGAAACATTCATGATGAGAGTCACTGATTGGCCGCCTTCTGCACGCCCCCGACTAGGGATCGAGCCCGCAACCTGGGCATGTGCCCTGACCGGGAATCGAACCCTGATCTCCTGGACCCTAGGTCGATGCTCAACCGCTGAGCCACACCAGCTGGGCAAGAGCTGGTCCTATTTTTGGCAGGAGAGAGGAACAGAGGTGGGGAAGGAAGAGGCAGGGGACGGCCCTTTGGAGAATTGCTGGTTGGTTGGTTCTTTACCTTTGCACAGATACCAGAAACAGCAGTTTGAAGGGTAAATTTGTTTTGTTTTATGCTCATTCAAGTTTCCAAACAAACCGCCCAGGACAGTGTTCGTGTGCGGGGAGAGGTGAGCATCACGTCACAGAGCAGGCTCACCCCTCCGCACGCCTCCCTCTACCCGGAGAGCTGAGGCAGAGAATGGAGCTGCTGAAACAAGCTTCATCCCATCACTGATGCTCCAGGGACTCTTCCTGAGGCCGTGGCTCTGTTAGAGGAGCCCATGGGGTGGGAATTGCCCCCACCTCCCTTATTTTAATTTTAACTTTCCATTGTTACTGCAAATAAAACTTCTCTAATGCCTTCTCTGTTTATCTGTCGCTTCACTGCCTCTGCCACACATCTGTGATTCTCGATGTGAGCTGGTGGCGATCGTAGGAATATGCATATGCCCTTTTCTGATTTTTGTGTTAAATTATACGTCACATTCCCTCCAAACCTTTCTCACATTTTGCATGTACCCATTTGTGCTAAAATGTGTAATGAAAGGAGAGATGTATTTAGTTCCTTGAACTATTAGCAGATTTAGCTGTGTACAAAATTCTGCCTTGACACATTTTGTATGAGAAATGGATCCAGCTACTTGTGTGTCTGCTTGAGAGAGATTTAGTTCAAAAATGACAACAGAAATGAAACTAGCAAGCCTTAGAAAGTTGTTTTCTTTTACTCTTCATGGGAAGAACATGTGATTTTACAAAATATCATCTAAAGTCCCTACAAACTCTCCTGACTGCCTGTCTAGGATTTAGTATGTGTATTGCAAATTGTTTTCTATTTGCAAAAGAACTTTTTCAAGCTAGTTTACTTTGATTCTTAAAAATATGGCAGCTCTGCTTGCCAGTTTTACTAATCAGCCTTCATCTGACTCTGAATTGCTTGGCTCCCGTGTTCTGCGTGTCCTCGTGGCGGTTAGAATTTATGGCTCCCCCTCCCTGTGTGCGAGCCTCCTCTCCTGCAAGAAGGAGGGGGAAAGGTCCACCTTCTGAGCGGAGCCCTTCGGTCAATCAGTTCTGAACCTGAGTCATTTTCTGCGCCCTGGGGAAACGTGGGAGTCTTTGCTTTGCTTGTGGAAACTGCTCGGCTTGTACTCACTGCTCCCAGCCCAGGTGCTCCCAGAGGGGTGCCTTCCTGTGCTCTGTCCATTTCTCCCCTAGTCCCAGGGGGCTCAGGGCTGCACCCTGTGGTGCTCAGAGCCACATAGCTGGGCTCTGCTCAGTAGCTCTTTAATTTGAATTTGCCTGTTTGTTTAAATTCCTTTTTATTTAATACCCTGCCAAAGCTAGCCTTGGTGGTTTGGTTGGCTCTTTATGTTCAGTTCGGTGGGACAGCCATTGAGCAGTGTGTTCTAGACTCTGCGTTGGGGTGAGTATCCGGGAAGGGGGGAGTGCGACCTGATCCTGAAAACTCTTTCCTGTCAGCAGATGGTGGCGGCAGAGGCAAAGGGCAGCCCTTCGCGCACGAGCAAGAGATCAAGTTCTTTGCTAAAGTACAGTATCTGGTCCTCTTGTTTTTGCTTCACTATGTTTGCTTACAAAACGTACCTTTAGCTCTTTGCCTTTTTTCAGAAGCCACTTGTCTCTAATGTGGCTCCTCTTGCATGCGTTCTGTGGCCCCCACAGCTGCATGAACCCAGTGGGTGGGTGGCTCCCACACCCCTCTCTGCCCTCCCTGCCTTAGCTCGCAAAGGGTTCTCTTTTTCTGGCTTTATTATATAACATAGAAGAAAATTATCTGTTTCTGAACATTTGAATGCTATGATTTAGAATCCTTAGGTGAGCATTTTTTTCCTAGAAAGGAAGGACACTAGCTAGTTTGTAAATGGGCCGTGATTAGGGCCTTTGCAACGGGGTCTTTATTGCGAGACCTCAGTCCCACTGGCTTGCAGATGGGGAGGCTGAGGCCCAGAGATGATCCATGGCTCACAGAGAGAGCACATCCCATTAGTAGTCATTCCATTTAGCACAATTTATTGAGAATTTGCTATTTGCCTGGCACACTTAGGACTTTCTTTCAGGCAGTAGGGAAGGTTGTAGAGTTGGCTACAAAGTTTCCGTGTTGGTTTATTGAGTGACTCAGTGTTTGCTCAGTACCTGGTCTGTTAGGCATCAGGCTGTCCCAGAGTGTCCCTGTTGTGGGCACAGGATGCCCTGAACACTTCCCTGTGTACAGTATTTTGCAGTTATAACCTAAAAACCAAATGAATTCTGCCAGTTTCCTTTCAGAGTAATCACAAAATGGCCTGTTATTCTGATTGGCTGATATTTGACCTCCGTTAGGTGTTTTTAGAACTGTGCCCTTCACTTTAAGGGGATTTCGTAGGTCTTTTCTTCCACTCAGTCTGTATGAAGCATCTGAAGTTTATTCTGAGCTGCACGTTGCTAGTTGCCCATTTTTTGGGATGCAGTCCCCTTGGTAGCCAGTTGTCAGGAAGTTGAATTCATGGTCTGTAACCCTATATTTAAAAGCACACTCTTGTGTCTCATCGCCTGTTGAACTTAGCACCCCAGGGGTTTCCTTTGCAGATGCCTAGTGAGGCTTAATTTCTACTAAATCTGTGATTCATTCATTCACATATTTATTGAGCACCTGTTATATGCCAGTCACTAAGTTCAGGCTATGCCACGGCTTTCTAGGAGGATCACCGAAACTTCCGTATTCCCACCATATATAAACATGCTAGAACACATTGCAGGGAAAATGTAGTTAGATGGACTCGAGTCTAACTACTAGTAATGCCCATTCTTTTTTCATTCATTTATTCAACAAATGTTGGCCCAGCAAGGCCCTCAGCACTGTGATTGGAGGTGACTGACCCAGCAGGGCAGTCTCACAGTGTCCAGGAGAGGCTGATGGGAAACAGACGCAGGAAGGCTTCTGGTTCTCTGTCCTGTGGTCGCCTAGGGGGAGGGCCTAACCCAGATCACAGATGAAATGCAGGATTGCAAATGGTGTTCAAAGAGCAGAGAAATGGGGCCTCTGTCTAAATGAGAGTGAGCAAAGGCTATCTGAGGAGGAGCCCCGAGCCCTGAGTGAGGCCTGCAGGAGGGAGTGTGGGTCACGGGCGTGGGAAGAGCATTTCAGACAGGGAGTGGTGTGTGCAGAGCCCTTGGTGTGAGTGGGCAGGGCGGAGAGGGGGACTCCACCAAAGGCTGCAGGGCCAGCTCAGGAGGGGGAGGTGGGCCTTGAGCTGGCCCCTGAGAAGGACTTTGAGGAGCTGGGGCAGTGGCAGGCGACTGCGAGTGAGTCCCGCCTTCTCTACATCTCAGTTTATTACCTGCAGAGAAGGGATGCTGGCACCTGCCACAGAGTCGCCACCCGGTGAATTACATGCAGGGTGTCAGGGGCAGTCCTCACACGTGGCAGAGACCCCATAGTGGCAGGCATTGATTGGGACTGAACTGTGTTGTATGAATTATTAAGAATATTTCATTTTGATAAAATACTAAAAATAATTCCAAACGGCTGAAAATTTAGTATGTTCCCCATAATTAGCC